CATTTTGCAATTGCAAAATATGAAGACTTCAATGAAAATGAGGGCCTGTGCCAATCTTTTAAGCATTCCGTTGTTTCTCCATGGGAAAAACACATTTTGCAATTGCAAAATATGAAGAATTCAATGAAAATGAGGCCTGTGCCAATCTTTTAAGCATTCCGTGTTCTCTCCATGGGAAAAACACATTTTGCAATTGCAAAATATGAAGACTTCCAATGAAAATGAGGCCTGTGCCAATTTTTTAAAGCGTTCCTTGTTTCTCTTCATGGGAAAAACACATTTTGCAATTGCAAATATGAAGACTTCAATGAAAATGAGACCTGTGCCAATCTTTTAAGCATTCGTGTTCTCTCCATGGGAAAAACACATTTTGCAATTGCAAAATATGAAGATTCAATGAAAATGAGACCTGTGCCAATTTTTTAAGCATTCCGTGTTCTCTCCATGGGAAAACACATTTTGCATTGCAAAATATGAAGAATTCAATGAAAATGAGACCTGTGCCAATCTTTATAGCATTCCGTTCTCTCCATGGGGAAAACACATTTTGCAATTGCAAAATATGAGAATTCAATGAAAATGAGACCCTGTGCATCTTTAAGCATTCCGTGTTCTCTCCATGGAAAACACATTTTGCAATTGCAAAATATGAAGAATTCAATGAAAATGGACTGTGCCAATCTTTTAAGATTCGTTGTTCTCTCCATGGGAAAAACACATTTTGCAATTGCAAAATATGAAGAATTCAATGAAAATGAGACCTGTGCCAATCTTTTAAGCATTCCGTGTTCTCTCCATGGAAAAACACATTTTGCAATTGAAAATATGAAGAATCAATGAAAATGAGCCTGTGCCAATTTTTAAGCATTCCGTGTTCTCTCCATGGGAAAAACACATTTTGCAATTGCAAAAATATGAAGAATTCAATGAAAATGAGACCTGTGCCAATCTTTTAAGCATTCCGTGTTCTCTCCATGGGGAAAACACATTTTGCAATTGCAAAATATGAAGACTTCAATGAAAATGAGGCCTGTGCCAATTTTTTTAAGCGTTCCGTGTTCTCTCCATGGGAAAAACACATTTTGCAATTGCAAAATACGAAGACTTCAATGAAAATGAGGCTGTGCCAATTTTTTAAGCGTTCTTTTTCTCTTCATGGAAAAACACATTTTGCAATTGCAAAATATGAAGAAACTTCAATGAAAATGAGGCCTGTGCCAATTTTTTAAGCTTCCGTGTTCTCTCCATGGGAAAAACACATTTTGCAATTGCAAAATATGAAGACTTCAATGAAAATGAGGCCTGTGCCAATTTTTATAGCGTTCCTTGTTCTCTTCATGGAAAAAACACATTTTGCAATTGCAAAATATGAAAGACTTCAATGAAAATGAGGCCTGTGCCAATTTTTTAAGCATTCCGTGTTCTCCCATGGAAAAACACATTTGCAATTGCAAAATACGAAGAATTCAATGAAAATGAGACTGTGCCAATTCTTTTAAGCATTCCTGTCTCTCCATGGGAAAAACACATTTTGGCAATTGCAAAATATGAAGACTTCAATGAAATGAGGCCTGTGCCAATCTTTTAAGCATTCCGTGTTCTCTTCATGGCGAAAAACACATTTTGCAATTGCAAAATATGAAGACTTCAATGAAAATGAGGCCTGTGCCAATTTTTTAAGCATTCCGTGTTCTCTCCATGGGAAAAAACACATTTTGCAATTGCAAATATGGAAGACTTCAATGAAAATGAGGCCTGTGCCAATCTTTTAAGCATTTCCGTGTTCTCTCCATGGGAAAAAACACATTTTGCAATTGCAAAATATGAGACTTCAATGAAAATGAGGGCCTGTGCCAATTTTTTAAGCATTCCGTGTTCTCTCCATGGGAAAAACACATTTTGCAATTGCAAAATATGAAGACTTCAATGAAAATGAGGCCTGTGCCAATTTTTTAAGCATTCCTGTTCTCTTCATGGGAAAACACGAAGAAAACAATTCAAACGGTTTTGAGAAAAATATTTTTAAGAAATTGTGTAAATTTCAAAACAAATTAAGCAACAAACTACCTGTTTTTTTCAAAACAAAGTACATGATCACTTTTTAGAACAGATTTTGTTTAAAGCAAAAATGCCTATCTTCAATTTCAAAATTTTTAAATGTTAAAATTTTGCATTTTTGAAAATACACAGAGAGTTTGCCGGAAATGAGACTAGCACCATTCTTTACCATTCTTAACCATTCTTTAATACATACAAAGAGAAAATTTAAAGAAAAACTTTGAACAGTTTTTGAAACAAAAAACAAAACAAAACAAAAATGTTTAAAAAAATTGTATATTCAATATTTTAGTTGTAGGAAGTAGCAGGAAAAAAATTGAACCAATGCAATTTTCCAAAAATAAGGGATTTTAATGAAAATGATACCTATTTCATTCTCTTAAGCACCTTTTACGCTATCAGACTTCAAAATTTAATTTAAAAAAAATTGGACCCATTTTGTTTTAAATTTTGAAAATGTTCCAGGGGCATCATGTAAAGTGCAACCCCAAAGTTATAATATGGATTTAAAATTCATGGGGCCACAATATCAGCCAGATTGATTGGGGAAAATTGGTAGAAAGGAGATCACATCCATTCCACTTGATTCTAAAGTGGTTCAGGAGATCAAAAAATGACGAAACATTGTGATCTCTGGAACTGGAAAGTCTGGAAAGATAGGGGCATAATTGTTCCAGAAGTACATAATGCAGAGGGGCTCTAGAGGCTATATTCCGAGATCTGAGGGAACATCTCAATACTACCCGATGTCTTGCTCTATGGGTCTAGCATACCAACTATAAATTCCTAGGTCCCAAATCCAGAGAAGTAACAATAGCTAAGGAATGTCTTAATTATAATGCCATTTTTTGCCATAATTTCATTATTTGAAATATTTAATTAGAAGCAATTATGATGAAATGTTAAGAGATATTTAACTGAAAAAATGTGAAATACATAATTGTAAACAATAAGAGGTTTATTTTTTGAGAGAAAAAAGAAAAAGAGAGTTAGTAACATTTAACTGATATTATGCTTCAATGCATGAACCTGTAGGAAAAGTGAAAAATTTTAATTGAGTTAAAGAAGTTGAATCCTATTCGGCTACTGCCTTTAAATTTAATTCAATTGATATTAAATTCAGAAAAGAAATCCTTACCTAAAGATGAGTATCTGCTTCCTGATTTATAATATAACCTAAAAATATGGAAAATTAAAATAATTTATGCAAATTTTATGTCATTTTATTACCCATTTTTGGTGTCTTTTGACACCAGAGTCCACTTAACAAGAATCTTTAGAGGAATTGAAAAACTTCTACAATCCTCTAAGATGTTCACTGGCATTTGAGCAAACAGGATCACATCACAACTTAGCATTCTGTACAGTAATTTGAATTTTATTTTTAGGTTGCAACCCTTGATACTGCTGAGTCAGTGAAAATAGCTTTGTGAAATATTATTGGTTGGATTATTGTTATTGCCATTCTTTTATTATTAGAACAGCAATATACTGTATTGTTAAGAATTATTTCTCTCTCTTTTATATTACTGTTTATCTCACTTCAGTTTAGTTCACAGAATGTTTTGCACACGTCCTATGCAAATTGTACATAGTATATAATTTTAAGTGTAGAAATGACAGGATTTCCTCCATCCAAAGTTCATAATAATGTCATTCATTTCCTGAGATACAACACAAAAATATGCAATCCTGTTCAATCACTTGTTCACACACTAGGATTATTTCTCCAACCACTATATGCACAAATGTTGATTGAAGATGTAGACACTGAAGCTGGTGCGTACTTGATTTACCTCAATATGTTTGAGTTGGAAGACTACTACTAACGAAATAATATTTCATTATCAAACATATGCAGCCATTCAGTACTTATATATATGAACAAAAATTAGAAAACTATTTTTTTAACAGTACAAATATGGACATATGCACTACAAAAGAAGAATAGCACTAGTTTTTATTCAAGGCAGTGTAAACAATACACACATTAATACTCAAATAGTTTAAGTACACATACATCAAAACATTTCTCAAAACAATAATCAAATCTCATTAAATAAATAAAAAGAAACATGAGAGAATGTTTAAAATTCTCTGTATAATTTGTCTAGTAAAATATACACTTTCATACTCGAGTCATGTTTGGTGATTATCCTCTTCTCTTTTGTAAAAATACACATTATGAAATTATCAATTATTAAATATTTCACTTGTAAAACTGATTAAGCTGATAATACTGTATATTTCTCAGAGTATGAATATGTACACTTTAAAACTAATGTTTATAAAAGAAACGACTCTGACCAAAAACTTGAGCGCAGCTCATGGACAGATTTGTCATTACCTGCATTATAAGGTTAGCAATCTATATAAAAATGGGCTTTCTTCTTATTAATCAGTGATGTGTCATTTTGTAAAAATTTAGAACATACAAACATTCAATATTCTTCCACATCATATACTCATCCTCAGTTTTGCACTGAAATTAAACTTTCGTGTACTACAATGTCCTACTTGAAAACCATTTTCTCTCCCAACTGAAATACATTGCAATAAATGCTATGAATCAACTCAACCTTTTAGAACATTTTTTATAAACCATTTGCTTACTTTTCAAATGTTTTGTTTATCTTTTCACTAAACACTCTTTCAATGCCATTTATTATTCAAATGAATAATAATGCACAATAAATAATATTGTTTCAAAAGAATGAAAAAAGTGTCACAATTTCATTTGTGAAATGATTGCAAGCCACTAAATGAGTTATTTTATTTCTGAATGATGTTCAGTGAATAACCTAACTGGCAGCATGTACTGTCACAGGACAAAATACTCTTGCATTTAAAAATATTGTCTCAAATAAATTTAGTAAATTTTAATTTATAATAAATTTGAAATTAATTAAAACTGAACTTCTAAATAATGATGAATTTATTTTCATTAACATAGATATGATAATATAGTTTATGAAAACATTTTTAAAGTGTAATTAAAATTAAACTCAGTTTGTCATTTTTTCTTAGTGAATATTAAAAATAAACGGTAGCATAGTTAGGCCATCCACTTCAAGTGACAGTATTTAATGTATTTGGGCAATTAGTTAACTTTACTCATTGTTGAGGATGCACAAATTGCATTGTTTCTTCAAATTACTCATTGTCTTTATCAACACTAAAGTTACTTTTAAAAATTCGTTTCTTGTGTGTGATTAATTTTCACATCAGTTCATACCCAATACTGATTACGTCTCAACATTGGATTAGTTGTCCTTGGAGGGTAAGCAAGTTCTGAAGTGTCATAACTGCTCCAGTCTTCTGTAGGCTCATCAGGGACTCCATAGGGATACCTGGAATTGAGATCTGGTTCTGAACTGGCCACTGATTCCACTGGTTCCAGGGGGATCACTTTGCACTGTAGCATGGCTGTAGGCGTGGGTGTGGTCCCTGGAGTTGGAGAAGTGTTTGGGGGGGCAAACCTCTTCGGATGAGGTGACGTGGCCTGCAGGTCATCTGGAGGACGTGGCAAAGGGACGGGTGGCATACCTGACAGGTCCGATTTACAAGTCCTTGTTTCCTCACGCCCCATATGTACTGATCTGCATTTTACCACAACAATCACAAGAATGGCTAATATAACAACACCAAGAACCATGCTCACTATCATCACATAGTCATTGCTCATGTTGGGACTAGCCACTGTGAGTCCACCCTCATGCCCCTCTGGACTCCGAGGACCCGCATTGCGAGGTGGGTGCGCAGCAGACACTGTAGGGATTGGAGAAATGTCATTGGCATGTTCTGGTCTCACCCTGAACTTTAATTCTCCCAACGCTGGCTGAAAAATAGAAGCAGCTAAGAGAAATGGGAAACTGTCATCTGCACCATCAGTCTCTTGGTCTGGTAATCGCCGCACAACATAATAAATGACACCACTCTTTATTTCTTCATGTGAAAAGTGAATAACATCACGTTCCCTCACTGTACGTTTCTCTCCAGTACTACGGATTATTTTCTTGATTTTCCCATGACGTGGTCGACGAAGCACTTGATAGTTAGGATTACTATTGGTCAATTTTGCCAAAGGTGTTGCATCTAAGACATCTAATGTTATTCTGGTTTTAGTTCCAGCTATGGGACTAAAGTTTCCGATTTTCATAAAAGGTTCCACACTCACATTGACTTCTATTCCCATGACAGGTATACCTCCTCCAGGGACCCAGGCAGATACTTCAAAAGTGTCACTGGCTGTTGTCATATCAGTCTGCATATAAATAACTCTTCTGTTATCAAGATCAACTTGTGTAAACTCTGTGGCAGCAGCATTGTTTACATATATTGAACCATGTCGAGGAAGATACGATACATTGTAATGCACTTCCTCTATAGGAACATTTGTTACAGAGATAAGGTGTTCTTGTGTAATTACAGCCACACTAGATCCTTGTTGTAATTTAATAGGAGCACCTGCAGTTACATTTAACATCACAGGAAGTACATGAATGTTAAACACTGTATATTCAGGATTGAAATGACCATCCCACACTCGGAAGTAAAACGTTGTGGGTTGAAGTCGCCCAGAATGTTCATAAACAACATTTCCTGCATTAATGTCTGCCTGTGTGAACTTTACAATCATTATAGATTCATTAGTGGAGCTATTTCTGTATGTGAGACGGCCTTGGGAAGGACCAGTTATCACAAAGTAGGTGATCTCTTCAGGTTGAGTGTCTGGATCTTCAGTAAGAAGATCACTTTTAGTGATTGGCTTTGTTTGACCTTGTACTACAGAAATATGAGGGGCTTGAGTAACTAATCGAAAAGGTTGGTCGTTTATAGGAGTTATGTATATAGGAAGAGAAGCATTACATAACATAATATCTCCTGGTTCCAGGAGCAAGGACAACTGAAGATCATCCTGCAGAGTATCAGAATGGTCATGGTGATATTCTACTTCTCCAGCATCCATTTGGGCCTGTGTGAAGCTTGTGATGTTGTTGTCTCCTACATGCAATTCTCCATGCTGCAAAGGACTCGTGAGAACCATCAGTAAAGAGGGTGATTCAACATCTGCTTGGGTTTCCAAGAACTCCAGAACTCGTGTTGTGTTTAAATATATTTTAATAATGCCACCTTCATCAACTTCCAGTGGAGTCATCACAAGAAACTGGTCTAGCCCTCCAGACACAATGGAAATATCAATTATCATGCTCTGAAATGTGGAAGAAATTTTACATTAGTTATTTATTTCAGAAGATTTAAGCATTTTTAGTAAGACCACGCTCAAGAAATATCAGCAACTATCATATAATTGTTAGTACAAGAAAGAAGGCCTATGTGAATGAATGAACTTGAAATGCTTTTCTACTGAGAGATTCATTCAGACAATGTTGTCAGTTGAAACACAGGACAAACCAAAATTTTATAATGTCAATGTATTTTAAACGATGAATTACTATATTCTGCTTACAGCAATAGACGGTACTAAGCACAAATTTGTTTGTGAAGATATTTCCTCTCAGTTACTTTTTCTCTTTTTCTCTCTTTTTCCTTTCACTTGACCCTCATTTTCACACTAAAAATTACATGCCCACACATACTTATACTTTTTTACCATTAGATTTTCCTTTATCTACATATTATTAATAATAAATAGCAATAACAAAAAAATTCCATGGAAATAAATTAATTATCTTTTGCAAAAAATAGAAATACACAAAATTATGACAAAAAAATTTGGTTCTGAAGATTCTAAATCATTATAGATTATGATTCTTTGTGAATCTATTATGTCTGCATCATGTGCTATCATAACCATCTCATTTCATTTGTCTAACTGATAAATTAAAGTACAAAAGTTATAAATTTTAAAATTTGACAAGAGAGACAAAAATCTTCTCATGTCTCTGCATGTTTAGATATGAAGGGTAGGTGTTAAAATCACATTTTAAATGGAGATAAACTGCATTTGAACTATAATCCTTTGTCTTGTTGTGAAGGACCCCTAAACGTATAGAAAATTAATAAAAATTCTAAAAATTACCTGATCCAGAAGTGGTTCAGCAAAATCTGCTCTGACATCAAATACAAGTGAGTCATTTGTTGATAATCCGAAAAATGGGTGTGTGTGTTCGTAGTAGACTAAACTGTTATTCACATCTCGTTGAGTGAAGTTGACAGCCTCCTGGGGATTCCCTGGAGGTGATGATTCCAACCAGAGTCGGCCAAGCGCTGGAGGGGATGTTACTGTGTACGTCACAGATCGAGCAGTAGGTAAATTATAGTCTGAGGCACGGTACAGAATTTGAGTATTTGAGAGGTATTGCCTTCTTAGAGGAAAAACATGTAACAAAGATGAAGACACCATTTGTAAGGAGACTTTACAAGCTGTCACCATAAATGGTAGTGGACTGGTAGTTTTCTCCCCATCACTCACTGTTATATTAAAGCCCGCACCTTTGCCACCTGGAACAACATATAATATAACCACAGTTTTAAACAATTTAAACAGTTAAACATTTAATGCTTTAGTAAATTTGATAATCCTTTTGAATAAAAAAAAAATGTCTCTTTTTTTCAAAAACTCCTCACCTTTATGCACAAAAGCTATCAATTTTCTGTCAATCTGTTCTTGAGTAAATTTCTGTATTGAAATTGAAGGTTTGGACACAGTTGCCAAATATCCAGAACGAACAGATGCTACAGCAAATGTCAAATTTTCTGGTGGTGTGTCTTTATCCACAGCGGCTGAGAAAAAGAAATGCCATGATAAAAACTGATGATTCCATACTAAGTACATGCAATGAGGGTAAGCTCACCGAGATGTAAATTGGTGATAATTTTTAATGCTCCTTCCCACATTCGCATTCCTGTATTGTTCATGATGTAAGGTGGTTCGTCATTTACTGGTGATACAATAATTTTTACAGTAGCAGGTGCACTTTTCTTTTCTCCTGCGAGGCCAATTACAACAAATTGATCTTCTAATGTCTCACTACCATCATGTTGATACTGGAATTTAAGAAAATTCTGATTGTCTCTCAAAATTAAGTTGTACAAGCATTTATGTTAAATTAAAATACAAATGTACATAAATCATAGATAACTTACAAGAAACTTATATTTTAGAAATAAAATTATTTTGTCCTACACTATTTAGTCAGATGTATTTTTCATAATAATCTTTTAATTTTTTAAATAATTTTAGAGAAGTTGTATTGCAGGTTGTTATTATTTTGAATAGAAATACGTACTTAGGAATTTCTGATCCCCCAAAGATCTTCTAAATGTGTTATTGTCTCTTTCATCTAATTGTACAGATCCCTAAATCCCACCTCACTCTTAAATTTCTTCTAGGACTCAAATTCTGCTTACATCCTCTTTCACATTGTGACTCCTCAGTCTGACTGAAGTAGGAAGAAACAGGATATAGGAACATTTGACATAGGAAGAAACTTAATGGTATGATCTTCTCAAACTTTATGTCCTCTCCATTTGAAAATGTTTCCTCAAATTTAGCTCCAACTTTTTTCCTTAATTAATATTTACTTACAAAAGTATTCAAAAATATGTTGAAATACTGTTTATAGTTAGTTAAGATTTTGTATTTCTATAAATCACAATTATTATGTATGTACACTTTTTAAATATCTTGCTTAAAAACCTATCAAGACATTCCACAAAGTAAATAAAAATAGAGAAACTAATAATTCAGCATCTGAGCAAGATGATAGTAGAGAAGTTTCAAGAAGAAATGAACCAGTTGTGATGTGTTTTGCATTGAAAGAGTGAGTGAGTAGACTGGGTGCAGCCATGAGGCAGTGAGGTGGTGTGTTTTTAGAAGTTTCACAATGATTGGAAAAAAAACATATTAAAATTTGTATACTTCAGAAAACATACTAATTGAAAAGGTGTTAGTAAGTGGAAAAACAAAAAGCAAAAAACTCTAGATGAATGTTGGAAAAATAACATTATTTTAGGGCACAAGTTATAAACTTTTTCGTTTAATTGTCAGAAATATGTTTATTATTCTTTTATTGATGGTTTTTTCCATAAATATGTTATATGTTAATATATTTTTATAATTATAGTCATGTAATTTACTAGTTTCAGGATGGAAAGATCAATATAATAAGTATCATAAAATGGAAAACCCTGCATGAAACAGAAACCTCCTTAAACCAAAATATTTTTTTGTCTCAATAGATTTCGGTTGAGACAAATTTTACTGTACTATGAAAATACTATCAAGATTCATCCTAAGACACCAGAGAAAAGTGAAGGAGGGCAAATCAAAGACAAAGAAGAAACAAAGCCCAAGCACAAGTCAAAACGTAAACCACTCTTAAGAAATTGAAGTAATATTAGAAGAGGAGATAAACCCTTCAATGCATAGCCTAGGATGAGTGTGATTGTATTCCAATGTAGGTGAAGGTAAAGGAGTTTTCTTGATAAAGTTTCTAAATCTAATTTTAAGACAATCAGTTTTATGTTTTTATTTTTTAAAACAGTAACATAGATGCTTTTAAGAACAAATTGTGATTATTTATTCTTAAAAACATGTATGTTACTGATTCAAAAAACAGGAAGAAAAAATTGTTTTGAAAACTGATTTGGAAATTTCATCAAGAAAATGTATTACAAACAATTATAATTTTAGTTATAGAAGGAAAGGAGTCTCAGTATGCCTCCAGCGTAGCAGGTAGCCTACTCTGTAAGCTTCTACGGTGGCTTTCTGCCTCTACAAGGTATCCCACAGCACAAGTGAAAATCCCATTATGATTAGTTATGAATACCTATGAACTGAAGTGAAATAACTATGAAATCTCCAGACAGCTTTTCACATTGAAGGGTTAAAATAATTCCACAACAAAGAGACAGAAAAAAAGAAATAGACAAACAATTGGAGCAAGAAAACAGTTATTGCCCAATATGCCAAGACAAAAATGGTCATAGAATTTCCACAAAACAAATATGTAATTAATATGGGAACATGGTATGCGAGAGGATTAACAAGTAAAAAAGAAGAACTGGAACAAAAACTTAATTTTTTCTATTTATAAGGATAGCTGAATAGCTATATCAGAAATCATGAAGAACTGTTAGTGTTACAACAGCACATACTTTCTTGTGCTTTCTACTCTTCTGAATTTTCAAAAATTCAGAGAGTTCAATGAAAATGAGACCTGTGCCATTTTTTTGAAAGTCCCTTGGTCTATGCATGAGAAAACGAATTAAAGAAAAAATTTGGAGTGGTTTTTGAGAAAATGTTTTTTTTTAACATTCTTGTCCTTACTTTGGGAGATGAGAAAATATTGTAATCATGTGTCAAATTAAAAAGGTGAATTTTTGACAGAAGAATTTTTATTGCCAGGTCGTGGTAATGATAAAAGTGATTAAAACTTATTCCTTAATGTAATAAATTACTTCCTCTAACACATGTAGTAAGAATCCATGTTTTGTGGGTTCTTGATACCGAAAATTTGCTTGATGGCAAAACATCTGTTTGCCTATTGGGAGTTTATCAGATTAACTGTACAGCGATTTTAATAATTATTAACTTGTTTAGCAAGTCTGCCGACAATTACTAATGGAAAACTTAATATTATTATTATTATTCATTATATTATTATTATATTATTATTATTATTATTATTATTTATTATTATTTATTATTATTATTATTATTATTATTATATCATATTATTATCATTATTATTATTATATTATTATTATTATTATTATTTATTATTATTATTATTATTATTTTTAATTTACAAACATTATTTAGAAAGTGAAAGAAAATAATTTTGTATAAAAAATTGTAATTATCTTATAATTCCTATAGGCCTATTATCAAATACATTACTTTTATTATGTACTAAATTAAATATTATATTAAAATTAGTTTAAATTGTATACAAATTAAATTTTAAACATGTTTAAGTCAAACTAAAGTAAAATTTAAAAACAGTATACTTTAAGTGGATACATTAGCATTATTTTTTATCACAAATTATCCCCTTTGAAGTGTCCAATCTCACCCTGCCTATGAAGATAGATAGGACATTTTGCTCCACTTGGGTTTTGTAAACTTAGAATGGTGAGGGGGCCTAAGGGTTGCTGATGCGCAAGTTAAAGCCTCTCACAACCAAATGCCAACCTCACCTTCCTGGGGTGGGTCCTGTTAACACAAATGAGGAAATGGCAACGGATTATTGGCGGGATAACCATATTAACAGATGATCAGCATAGGAAGGAAATGCCCATGCTAATGCTCTTAAAGTAATCCGAACGATCTAGGCCAGTGTTCAGGTTGAATTATGGCAGCTCCTCAGTGGACACTTGGAGGTATTGGCTAATAATCAGTATTTCTCTTAAATCCATTTATTCAAGAAACCAAAGCAAAGAATAATACTTTGTTGAAGATTTTTGGCATAAAAATGGTGACAGAAAATAAGAGGCATTTTCTTAAATATAAATGAGTAGGGGACATTATGAAGAATTGAATGGTGTTTATTTCAAAGTAATTAATAATGATATACGTTTATGAACTAATTGTATTGTATAATTTTATTTCAAATGAACTAATTGTCTCTAATAAAGCGAAACCTGATTAATAGAAACCTATCATAAACAATCAATAACATAGTTAATAAATAATAAATAATAATAAACTAACTCTGCAAAAAAATGTTAATTAAAAATTGCCCAACCTACTCCTGATCTCCAACAAACAAACTACTGTGATCACATTTTCCCCATGTCTATTCAATTTAATACATTTGTTATACATCCACAACTTGTAAAAGAAAGGAAAAGAACAAAATCTCCAGGAATACAAATAACTGGAAACAATGAAATCAGGACAATTTTGAATGCAGATGACCAGATACTGATAATAGATTAACAATGCACTTGAAGCCGTTCTGCAAAAAATAACAAGGGAATTTGAAATGAACATTCCAATGAAGAGAGTAATGAAGAGTGAAGATAGTAAACTAGAAGGATCAATGGAGAATAAAAAGAAAACATAATTGGACAAGAATACAAAGATAAAAGAAATAGAAACATTGTTTGTCAGTGAAACAATTGTTTAAGAATAGGAATACATTGATAATAAACTAATGAAATTCAAGAGAAATGATGGGATAATTATGAGACTTGCAAGAACACGCAATATGTCAATTTCATCTACGTCTACTACAGGCACAAAAGAAAGTCTAAAAGAATAAGGATAATGATATTTACATGAAGTGATTTAAATGTTTTTGTACATAAATGGGTAAATAGTAACAACAAAAGCATAACATTTCAACAGATTCAAAGAAAAAAAATCATCAATGTTGCTCAGTTTTCTTCCATTTTTGTCTCTTTCATGACATTTTTTTTGTAAACATATCACCAAATGGCATGAGAATTTCATTGTCTTACCTGTAACAAGCCACTCTTCAATTGTGTAGTTGTAAACTTCTGCAACTGTTGTCCTGGTTCTCTAGATAGCTGCAATACTCCAGATTTTGGCAGTTTCAAAACTCGAAATTCTGTCACACGTCCTCGGTAATATTCAGTGAGCACTGGCAAAAGATTGGCAGGCAACGTAATGGTTCCCCCCTCTATTACTTGGAGTTCACCATTACTGATGTACATCCATTCAGGCACAATAATAAAGCGTACTATCAGATTTCTCAGCCATGAGATGCCATTTGTGACATCTACAACAAATTGATCGTGCGTTTTATTAGCTGTTGATTGAATGTAGTATAGTCGACCTTCATTCAGTAATGCTTGTTCAAAAACATTCACAATGTTGGGTCTAGAGTCATCTGTGTCTGTTTGATCTGAATGAATGTCTCCCACTGGCTCTATTTCCAAATAGCCAAATACAGGAGGTTCTGTTATGATGTAAGTGATGTCTGTAGCAGGGATCTGAGGATGCATCACCTACGAAAAAATGAAGGTAAGATTATTTCTATGAATATTTCTCTTATACGACAAACATTTACATACGGTACTTTTAGGTAATTAAATATTGTCAATCATTTTGCTTTGTTTTATTATTCCAGATAATTTGTTAACTTTTGCAAAGCATGATTCATAAATTGATCATCAATGATAATACTTTGAAATAATGTTTAACATTTGTTTGTTAACCTTTGATATTTGAACCTTTGCTTTTGAAATGGGCTCTATCACTAAAGAAAAAGAAGAGAATAACAAATTGAACACACCTTAAGAGAAGCTGCAGTAACAGCAACGCTTGTTGACTCTTCCACATGCAGAGTTCGATTTGTGGCAACAATAAGAGGTTCCCAGTAGCTGGATGGGAATACACGAATTCCAAACTTGCCATCAGCTGTTGTGTCACTAGCTCCAACTCGAAAATGAAATTCATCGTTGTAAAAAGCACCTCCCTCATGGTGATATGTCAACAATGCATTCTCTAAGTCTAATTGCGTGAATTGCCTCAAGGCCTCTGGTTCATGCTCCAACTGAAGGTGACCATAATGAGGACCCTCAAGAACTTCATAGACTAGTTTGTCATCCCAGATGTTGAGATTAGTGTCAGCACTTAGATTAGCAATAGTGAGCATTGCTGCACCTCCGTGCTGTACCACAAGCCCAGTGTTGTTGGCCACTTGCACGAAAGGAGGTGATGCTTTCACCTCCAAAATGCCGTTGGCATAGAACTGTCCATCTGTGATCCACAAACCTACTTTCCCATATTCTTCACCCTCATGACGGAACAGCACCCGATTGTGATCCAGATCATCCTATGGAAAGGAAAACAACAAACAAGTTAAGGGATATTGTATTAACTAATAAAATATTTCACTCAATTTTATTTTTATACTATTTTCTTCAAACAACATAAATATGAAGTTTCTCCTAAGGAATGCCCTAAAACTGAAATTTGTGAGACAAGAATCAATAGGTCTAGATTCTAAGAAATGTTGCAGTATCACAGCCTGATCCTGAATGGGCATATCATGATTGACTGTCTTCTTTTGGGAACCATTCCAGATGATTAGGGATTAAGAAAATTACAACCTTGTTGACCTCAGTGATACATTGAACTTCTCGGAGGCCCCAATGCGAAGATCCAAATAAGACCCCTAAATCTCATTTAAAATATGGCATGTTATTTTTAAACCAACTTACCATAAAGCCATTTGCCAAATATCAATTTTTATGAGGAAAAAAATCGTGCTTTGCAATTTCATACTGTGCTCAGGCTCTTACATTTTTTGAAATGTGAAGTTATATGAAAAAGTATCAATTAAAATACTTTTTTAAATTTTTTGATTCAATTTCAAATTAGATTTAATTGTCTTCAATCTGTTTAATAAAGTCATAACAATTCATGTTAATGCCAAAAAGAGAGTAGAGTAATTCTAGGCTTTTCACCTAAGTGCATTAAAACACACGTTTGTAAAGACTTCTTGAAGAATATCCTCAAGATAACTGGCTAAGAATTGTGCCAATTGATTTGTCTTGTTAAGAGGAATCGAATGAGCAATTGATCACCTCTGTATGTGCTGTAAGTCACTCAGAATGGGTTTTAGTTGCTTGAAAAAACACTGACAGAACACAAAAGCACATTTTTTTGAACAGTTCTATGAGAAGATCACAAAATTGAAAATGGGACTTTCATCATTATTCCTCCCTTATCTTCACTTCTTAAACTATCTAAAACATATTAAATCGTATATTATATGAAACATTAAAAAAAAAAAAAGCACCTTAATGAAAGAGATTGAACACAGGAAATGAAAGGAGCATTCTCACGGAAATATTTCAATATAAGAGGATATCATAGGCAAAAGAAGCTTCCTTTCATCGTCCCTACCTGTGAGAATTCAAAGAGAGGCACTGTTGGGTCGGAAGCCTTGTATATACCGCCGTTAGGGATCCCTCGACGTGTGTACACGATGTCGCTGGGCTGCGTGTCGATGTCGGCGTCGGAGTATCGTAGATCTCGCCCGGTCAGCAGCTTCTCGCCGCCAGAAACTATGTGGAACACCTAAGCGGGGGAAAAAGACTGGTCAGTTTCATAATAGGAAAGACTACCTTCATAAAAAATGAACTTAAAAAGATTTGTTTGGGGTCGAATTTCCCTTTTTTTCTTTCTTTTCTTTCCCACCATTCATTCGGCGTAAATCTGAAGTCGTAGTTGAATTTAGATTCTGCGGGGCCCACCAGAACAAAATCGTCCATCCTCCACGAAAAAAAACCCTCCAGATTTACTAAATGACACCATTAAAATGACACCATTTGTAATATAATAACTTTTTGGACCAATATAAATGTATATGAGCAAATGGATTATAGAACTGAACACAAATATACCTTTGGTTGATGCTTCCGAATGTGTCAACGGCTAAGACTATTACACGCGTGTGTGTTCTTTATTGCGGGAGGTGTCGATGACCTTCCCTATTGGATGGCGAGATCTGGCGCCGACCTACACGTCGGAGTGCGGGTTTTCCCCAACCAGGCACCTCTCACCGCCCAAACACTAAGCCCGCGACATGTTGGTAGTGAAGAGCTTGGAAGTGTGTGGGAGAAAAGCGTAGTTTTCCGTGGTTTCTCCGATCAACACCGGCCGAATGCTGGTACAGTTCCCTCACAAACGGGCCACAGTCCTTATCCACGACCTTTCCTTCCCCTTCCTTGTCCTTTTCTCACCCGTTGCTAACACACACTACCGGGAGACCTGTCGCGAGCTCAGAACTTGTTCCGGATGGGACAGTGCCCCGCAGGTGTGAGATATCTGGTTGGGGAAACCCCCGTTAGCCGAGTGTAGGACAGCGCCGGATCTCACCATCCCACTGGGGCAAGGTCACCGTCACCTTCCGAGGCAAAAACATGCACTACTCCTAAGGGGCTTAAGACCGTGGCAGTTGCCGCGCCCGGAATCACGAAATAACACTGGCACACAAAATAAAAAAAAAAGGTTGTCAGGCCCTGAGACTTGACACATGTTTCTCTATGTATGTCGACGCCCTGAATCCGAATTTGAAGCCAGAATTGCGCCACCACCCTCTAGATTTTTTTTTTTAAATAGCGAAAAACACATGTGAATAATAGATTTTGATATTGAATGAAAGGAGTTCCAAGATGATTTATAGACACAACTCTTCTCAATTTAGTTTTATTACATCTCTATGTTACAATTACTCGATTGCGCAACAATTTCGGGGACATATTTTGCCCATTTTCAGGCAAAAAAGAAAAAAAATGAAGAAAATAATACAATTTGAAAGGTTAAATTACAGTATGTTACATTAGTACACTCGTCAGATTATTAAAAATCTAATTTAGTACATTAAACAATTCTTTTTTTCCAACCATAAAGGTTCGTTTATGTCGATTAAAGAGAAACAATTAATAAAATTGAGCTTAATAGTTAATATTTGGGTTATAACAAATATTATTACAATATTATAAACCAGCACTTACCAAACGAATCAGGAGCTCATATCATATTATCACTAAAACACCATCCAGTACAAGCTGGTGGATGTACCATCACGGTCAGACGAAGTGTAGTGCTGAGGGGTCTTTGGAAGGTATGAGCTATTGTAAGTACAGACAGGAGAGGGGAGGGCAAAGGAGGGGAAGGGTGAGGGAGGGGGAGGCAATTTATAAGGTGGAAGGGGAAGGAGAGGAAACAAAATGTGGCATGAGGTGTGAAAACTGTTGATTGGCAACATCAGAAAATTTATATATTCTACCTTTGTAACAATAGATTTTGATGTATTGTATCATTATACTTTACAGAAATCAAAAGTTGTCAGCCCCAATACTTGAACGTTTCCCTATGTACATCGGACGCGCTGAATCCAAAGCCAGAATTACGCCATCATCTCCCAGGTCTATTTTCACGAAAACCCACAGTGAGATTCACAATGTCAAAGTCGTTTTTCGCGATTTAAAGAAAACTGGAGTTCGAGGGCTAAATTCTGGTTTCAGATTTATATTCAGATTCAGCGCGGCGACGTATATAGAAAATAGTGATGTTAGATCAGTACAAACTTTCTCGACCCTCTTGTAACGGTTATGTAACATTAGTGCAATTCCTTCCCCCAATTTCCGAAAAAAAAAGAGCAATATCCGAAAATGAGACTAGCATTATATTTATTACCTAGTGGAGAAATTTTAAAGAACAAATTTGGAGCGGCTTTTTATAACTTTTTTGTAAATTTCAATCTCAAAATACGCAAAAAACTGCTTGTTTTTTCAAAAAAATGTATATGACGTTTTTTAAGAGCTAATTTTGAACAACGAACTTTGTTGGAAAAAAATCTCTATCTACAATTTTCAAGTTTTAATTTTTTCCCCAAAATTTTTTGGGAAAAATCGTAGGTAACAAAGAAAATGAAAACTGCACTATTCTCTTAAACGTTTTTTTTGCAGTATTCAACAACAAAATTTGATCAAAACATATGGAGCTATTTTTTTTAATATTATGAAACTGTCCCAAAAGTTTCATGTAAAATACTTCCCAAAATTAAAATATTGATTTCAAATTCCAACGGCCGCTACTCCAGCAGGAACGATTGGGGGAATATCATTTTTTGAGAAAAACCGGCTGTACGGTTTATGCGCTAACGTTGTGCATAGACAGACGTTTTGCCGTCAATCGAGTTTTCGGTATGAAGGACGCACAAAACATGGATTTTATCCACACCACGTGTTAAAGTTTTTTTCTTATATTTAGCAAATGGATTTGTCCAATTTTTCCTTAACGGGGCCCGGCAATAAGAGATATTGTGTAAAAAATCGTCGTTTTTCGGCACACAATTACAATACTTTCTCTTCCTACGTTGGTAAGCGCGAGAAAGCAAAAAAACCCGTCAAGACCTGTGGGTCTGCCGTTTGTTTATTCTTGTGTAAAGCCTGTTTTACACAATTATTTTTTCATCATTTCTCGACGATACGGAAAAGATACAGACCAGACTGTTTCTAATTTGTACGAAAAAATGACGCATGCTTAATTTTTCGGTACAGATTTCATCCAGTTGAGTACCGCGCTCCTGGCGGCACTTTACGGGTCTTTCTCTGTTTAGTTATGCGGATGGAGGGATATGTTCATTTTGTAGTTGCGTGAGAGCGTTGTGTGTGTTGAATTGTAATGTAAAGTGGTTATGTAGTAAGAAATAAAGTATGTACTGTATTCTAATATGGTCGCATCCATGCTCGGTCCTAATATAACCTAACTTAATTTGTTACCACAGATGCGATGTTCAAATGTTTGAACTCCAGCGCTATATGCGGCGTCCGGAGGAAGTATTTTCTTCTCGATAACGTTCAAAGACAGAAATGACCGTGTAAAACGCTGGAATCACTCTCATCCAATTTCGACACCGAAACTTACTGCGTAGAAACAAAGGCCCTTTTTCCATTTACTTTCTGTTCAGAAAAATGATGAAAAAAGGATGCAAAACTGACCGTGTAAAACAGGCTTACTCAAGAAGTCATAGAGGGGAAGAGGGCGCTCCCCTTTAGCGGCAGCGATGGTGTAACGGTTAGCGTAGCGGACTGTTATACCCAACAGACTTAATCAAGCAGTCGTAGAGGGGAAGGGGCGCTCCCCTTTAGCGGCAGCGATGGTGTAACGGTTAGCGTACCGAACTAAATTCTATTCAATTCTATTCAATTCTATTCAATTCAATTCACCTTGTCGACGGCGCGCACGGGCGTGTTGTCGTTCTTGAGCAGCACGTCCACGTGGAAGACGCCCACGTACTGGAAGTCCTCCTCCTCGCTGGAGAGCGCGACGAAGTGGAAGGCGTCGCGGCGCGTCTCCGAGTCGTCGTGCACGTAGAAGACGCGCTCGGTGAGCAGCTCGCGCGACGAGAAGTAGGTGGTGGCGCGCCGCAGCACCGTCACCAGCCCCACGTCCATCACGTCGAGGCGGCCGTGGTGCGGGCCGTGCGTCACGTTGTACACCAGCTCCGTGATGCCGGCCGTCTCCAGGTGCAGGTGCGAGCGCAGCACGGCTTGCCGCCCGCCCTCCGCCACCTGCGCGCACGACACGCGCTCGGCTCGCTTCGCCCCGCTCCGCCCCGCTTCGTCCCGCTCCGCCCCGGCTCCCGCCCCGCTCCGCCCCTCCGCCCCGCTCCGCCCCGCCCGCCCCGCTTCCGCCCCCGGTCCCCCTGCTCTCCCCGTTCCGGCCATCTCTGACCCACTCCGCCCCGCTCCGCCCCGCTCCGGCCCTCCGCTTCGCGCACTGCCTTCGTCCCGCTCCGCCCCGCTCAGCCCCAAGCTCTGCCCTGCTACCGCCCCGTTCCGAAATCTCTCTGCTTCGCCCCGCCACCCTGCTCCGCCCATTCCGCCGCTGTCCGCCCTTGCCCCCACAAGGGGTCCACACGTATGCCACGTGCTACGTGCGCCGAGCGCCTCACCTGCAAGGCGTCCAACGTGGCGGCGCACCTCGTCCTGTTCGTTGCCGAGGGCACGTGCAGCAGCGAGACGTGCCCGACTCGGGTGTCGCAGTCCTGGGCGCCGACAGTAGAGGTGAGTCGTTCGCGCACGTGGGAGTACGCCTTGCGGTGCAGGCGGTAACGCAGGCGGCCCGCCTCCAGGTCCTGCTGCGTGAAGCCGTCTCCGCTACGCGCAAATATCGGCGATTTGGCTAACATAAAAACTTTGGCTCGGCTCTAGTAACGAAAAAAAGCGGATAAATCTTGCTTCATATATATTACAGTTAAATTTTGTTTAATACGGAAGATACAAATTGTTGCTCACGGCGAAAAATAAAAGAGAATTGAATATATATATATATATATAATATAATATAATATTATATATATATATATATATTATTATGATATATATATTCAGCGAACAAAACAGTAATTTATGCAATCAGATGTAAAAGGCAGCAGAATGAGAATTCCTTAGAGCGTTAGCGGGATTAGCCTTTTGGACAGACAAAGAAACACACAAAAAAATGCGAAACGAGCTAAATGGTAGAAAGTTTTATAGAGAAAAGTCACCAACTACAGACTCTCATGCCAAGATCACACGTTGCGAATGAACGACGACAGAATTCCTCTAAACAAGGTGGCAAAAATTGTTCAGAAGAAAAAGGAATTGTAGGACGGTCTAAGAATTGCGAGCTGGAGGGACCAAAATTAAGCGGCGTAACAGCATATGCCTAAATACTTGAAGATTAAGAAGAAAGAAGAAAGAAGAAGAAGAAGAGAAGAAGAAGAAGAAGAAGAAAGAAGAAGGAAGAAGAAGAAGATGTAAAAGTCGGTATTCTTAGCATGGTTTATAGGCGAGACTCTGACGAACCAAAATACTAACGCAGCACGTCTGCCCCCATCCATCTACCAGTACCCCCATCATCCTCAAGCTTCCATTGGCTGCATTGCACCAGCTCCGGACGAAACTCGCGACAGTCCACGCAGACGACCCGTTCGAAAAACATGCATACAGGGTCCTACATGGCATTCGGGGCTGTACGAGAATAAGCGGAATGACCCAATCAAAACATTTCGTTTTTCAGTCAAAACATTTCCATTGTTTCCGGATTTTCTCGAGTTTATGCGAATCATGACCACCTCTCACAAGCCGGAGCTGTAGAGTTGCTTTCTAATTTCCGTCTGTGCATTTGAAATTAGGATACTATGGAAACCCATGCGATTTAAAGGGCGCCCGGGAAAATTTAAAGGCTCCCACGCGGAAGGTTCGCAGCCTACGCGTCGTCCCGCGGATTTCGTCGCCGCGGTCTGGGAGGGAACTTTCAGCGCCGCACCCACTGCGGATCTGCCCGCCGGTATGGAAATCCTTTAAGCTGAATCCTTTTCCTTGTCTTGGATATTTATTCACCTTATTAATCTATCAGAGCACCAAAATGAATGCTTTTCTGTTTGTAGGCATATTCCTTCCCGTTAGTCTGGTGCTGGCGTGAACCGGCTCTTGCCCTTGATCTGCCTTTTGCATTGCTCTGCCATAGTCTACCGCCTGCCGGCCAAACCCGCCTCGCTTTTTTTGCCACCGTCCTCACCCATGGTGGCCTTGCTGTGTGGTGCGATACTACCCGCCTTACCGTCAGGATGTGCGTGATTATCGATATTTCAAAAAAATAAGTTTTTTCACTCTTATTTAATGTTATATAAAACTACACAAAAATGTAAACTCCTATGCGAAAACATCGGAGGGGACTGATCCAACATTCAAAAAGGCAGCTTATTTGCGATTGAACTGAGTAGTTCATCAGGAAAAGGGCATGTTCACATAACACGTTATAAAAACAAAAAACTTTACTAGCGTACCCAAGCGAAAACTCTTCGCAAGGTTAAAACTTCACCCTCTTCCATATCCTTCCATTTCCGTATTAAGTCATAACACTTTCCTTGAGACCTCTTTATCCTTCCTCACTTTTCTTCTATTACGTCTCCTTGGTAATAGTATTAACTGAAAACGTATTTTAATCGGAACAGTAAACGTTTGGCCATACAAACTATCTTAATTTAATTTTTTTTACTTGAACAGTGAGTACACACGTGTAATTTGAATCGCCATTAGAATATCGAGCTATTAGTTTAATATTCACATACAATTTGCAGATTCTTGCACGTCTCTGAACGATGGGGTAGATCGAAAAGCGCGAGGAACCAAGCAAGAAATATAGAGATGTCTAAGATCTCATCTGCGTGTCAAGAACATTTCTTTAGAGCATTGGCTCAAACTATTCGTTTTTTAAGCCCTAGAACACTTCGTTATGAGTTATATAAACTACAGATTATCACACTGCCAGAGTGCTTGGTGCATTTAGCATGATAATTTAAGATGCGATTTTCCAAAAAAATCTTTTTATATTTTAAAGTTAAAGGCACTCCGCGAAATTGATCTCCTTTAGATGTTGCTTACTTTTAAGAAGGGACGTATTGTTGATCAGCTAAAAAAACATCGCCACAAATAATCAAAATAAAATGCTGCTTAACTATTTTAAAAATGCCCTGAAGCAAAGGGAAAATGACGCTAAAAAATCTTTTGGAAAAAACAGTTCAGATAAACAACTCAAATGTTGAATAGCGTTATGATGTATCAGGGCTACTTCGTTTCGTTCAATTTGAACTCAGCTGCAAAACTTTTGGATTGGGAGTATGATTGCTAGGAAAATTGCTGTTTTTAGTAATCCCGAAAACGACCGAACTGACAATGCGGTGATAGATATCAAGGAACCTTAGATTAACCAATCACAACGGCTGATATTACAATTATCTGAGCGAAGAAATCGAATAGGCTACTCAGAATTCTGTGGAGAACATTTATCGCAACATCGTAAATATTATTGAAGAAATACCATTAAATTATATTTAAAACACATATTACAATACACATATTATACAATACACCATATATAAAAGTGGGTCATTTCGTTTTGACATTTGCAAAGAAGTATTGTATATACTGAAAGGCATTGATCGGAACTAAAAAAAGGCCATTAATCATTAAAATCCGCCCCTACTTAATAAGGAACGATTACACGTGAGAGCCGCAAAACGGCATCTAAAACACTGAAATAACATTAGAGAGAGGTAGAGGTGACGGTCACATGCAGGCGGCGGTTCTTTGCGGGGCAAGGCGTGGTGCAGGGCTCCCGTAGCGGGGTGGGCGCTGCACGCGAGGCGTATGAGCGCGCCGTCGGTGGGCAGCGGCGGACGTACGGTACTGCAGGTTGCTGCGCGGTGAGTGGCGCCTCGCGGGACCCGTTCACTTTTGGCAGCTTTCACGTTGCGCGACGAGAAGCCAGGCGCAGCTCCGTGAATGTGACGCGGAAGTCGTACACGGTGCGGGCTCTGCCACCTCCAGCACCGACACGCTTGAACTGGATCGCGGCCGACTTCACCCAAATTTACTCGCAAAAAAAAATAAATAAAAAGATATTATATATATATTATATATATTATATATTATATTATATATATATATATATATTAGACAAATACTACTGAAAGCGGCTCGATCAGACATGACCAGGCGTGCTAAAGGTTCAATTTCAGCACCAGTCTAAAACGTTTGAGACGATTTCTCAAGGTTCGTGACAATTCCTGGTGAATGCAATAAAAAAAACAAAATACGTTTATTCTCACCCAGAAGTACCAAAAGGACATAAAGGATTAAGAATGAAAAAAGGGAACAGTACAAAATGAAAAAAAAAGGCAAAAAGGTTAAAATGGCCAAAAAGGACAAAAAGGTCAGCTAATGCTGACGTTAAAGTTAGTTATGTGCTACAAATGGCACAGACTTTGCCTTATTCGTTTTCTATATCGTTGGTCCGCAAGCTGGACTTGCTGCATATTCTTCCAGCTGCCATCTATTCGCCGCCCAAAAAAGAAACATTTTTTGAATGTTTTCTCAATTTTTCGAGTTTTCCTAATAGTAGGAAAAGAATATTCATTTTAAGTAGTATAAAGACAGTAACACATCGTTTTAAATGGCAGTTTTCTTTGAAAAATGTGGAGCCGCCTTTAAGAAAATTGCGTTTAGCACTACTGTAAAATTCGAAATTTGAAGCTCTATTTACGATTTTTTGAGTTTTCTAAAAAACTTTTATTAGAAATCATTTAACGCACAAGAACTCACACGCACGATTGTGTTTACGAATCGGTGGAAATGTGGCAAATTAACGGCGCGAGAGAAACTTCTAAAAA